ATATCCAACCTTCTTAGTGCAATGTTCGATCTCCTTGGCCCGATGCCCAAATTCTCGGCCCGAAGCCTTCTGCCGATACGTCGACCGATCCTCCAGCCAAACATCTGATTCCTCCTACTTTAATCGATTTGCCTCTTTTGATCAAAGCTAGTCCTACGTCACTCAAACTCACATTAGATAAACACTATCAATTGGTTTTATCATCAAAATCTGAGATTCAACAAGGAGGAGTGAGTGCTTGTAAAAGATTGTCTCCTAAACCTATGAAAAGGAGAAGAGGGGTGTAAGAAGATGGTTGGTCTTCGCTTATTGAAGGAAGACCGTTAGTGGATGCTAGTGGCCTCGATGAAGAGGAATCGGGAGTGGATGTAGGTCACGATGATCGAACCACTATAAAAATCTGGTTTGCATTTCGTTCGTATTATTTCCTTATATTGCAAAGTGAATTCTTACATTCACTACACTTCCGTACGCTTTCAAGTTAACACATTTTCGATATCGATTTTATCGAAATGAAGATTTTTCAAAACCGACACTTTTATCCACTGCACTAATTCACCCCCTTCTTAGTGCAGACTCGATCCTAACAATTATCACTTGCTAAGCTTTATAGTGTACTTAATTGATATATTTTTTAGATTAGCTAGTCACTCACACTTATGCTCGTTTTGTAATGGAATACTAGAAGATTATGGTAAATTTTTGATAATTTAACATAATATTATTGTAAAAGAGTACTTTGCTTGTAATATTATTCGAGAATCTAACTTGTTATAAATATTAAAAGACCTCTTATGTTTTTGATAGCTTAGAATATTAAATTAAAAGTTTTTATGTTAATATGAACATGTGGTAAATGATTTATTTTATAATTATGATTTTTTTTATCTTGTGAGTTGATAAATGATTGTTAATAATTTTTAAGTTAACTTTGGATTTTATGAAGCTATCAAGTGATATATTGAATAATTATAAACTATACAAATTTTATAGTGTGTGAATGCGAATTAAATATTTTTTGAGGTAATCAAATTTTTTATCTTGGGTTTTAAATTTTGATTGTGAAAGAGTTAAAAATATTATTCATACCCCTAGAGAGAGAGAGAGAGAGAGAGAGAGAGTTTCCAAGTGACCACTAACCTTGATCCATCTACTTTCCAAGTGATCCTTCACGCAATATAAATAGAAATGTCACATGAATTTTATCAGATTTTTTAAATATCTAAATGGGAAGAAGAGATCCGATTAGATATTATCATCAACATCAAAGTCTTTACTAAGTAAGATAATTAACATCCTAATTTAAGATTTTTTAGAGAAAATTTTGAACTTTCAATCTTTTAGTAAGTGAGACCTGCGGAACAAACTTCGATAAGTGGACCGACCTAATGCTCCACTATTTTGTGGTTAACCTTCGGCCTAATGGTTTTTTTATAGCTATGGTTCTTCATTATTGGGTTTTACGCACATATTTGGGTCCACGATTGAACGTAGACTTGACTCTGCTTATGCTGCGGTTTTGGATTTCCATTCGTAACCTTACTTGGTATATGGCTGCTTAGAAGGTGTAGGATAATTCGCTCGAGTGTTTTCCAGTGGAAGTTCTTCTTTGAATTGTGATGTGCGGCCACTCATGGAAGAAATTGTTCTGAGTTGCTTAAAGTTCTGATTCTCTTTTCTCCGTTGCTCGTGTTTCTACACATGTTTGACGTATCGATATGGCGTTGGCTATTTGCAGCCTAAGCAGATTCATGAGATCAAGGATTTCCTTCTCACGGCGAGAAGGAAAAGACGCCCGATCGGTGAAGATAAAGAGGAGCAGGGATGTGGTGAAGTTCAAGGTCCGCTGCGCCAAGTACCTCTACACCCTTTGCGTGTTCGACTCTGAGAAGGCAACCAAGTTGTAGCAATCTCTTCCCCCAGGTTAATTTTGCTGCCTTCATTTGCTTGCTTGCTTGCTTGTTATGATTGATATTGCCATGGTCTAAAAATGTAAAGAGAGGTTTGAATCATGCTACGAACACTACATTCTTTAGGTGATCTTGCTCATTGAAGTTGTCATTGCTGATATCTTTCGTTGCTATAAAGAATAGAGCTAATAAGTAAGTAACATCAAGATTGGCACCTCTGCTATGTTGCTGGTTGATCGATTGATGCTAGATTTCCAGCGTCTCTCTGGGCTTTTGCATGCATAACGATTATGTGAATTGCTCCTGATGAGAAACAGTAGTGTTCATCTTGATGTTATCATTAGCTGAAACCTATGCTGCATATGAATCGAATGTTGTCGCTGCTGTTGCTGTAAATCTTTGATTCGACGTGATGCGCATTCGAAAGGACCATAAATTTTCGATACAAGGAAACCACTTAACTGATATTTTCTATGCTGAGCTGCTAAGAACTTTTGACATGAACAGCAGCAAAGAGTCTAAAAATACTGGCAAGTAACATTAGCTTAGCTTTGATAGTAGTACAGTGATGGTGATCTGGGGTTTATTTGATGTTGCAGGTTTGAGCGTACAACAAGCCTGAATCTGAAGTTTTGGATATTCCAGTAGCTCAGCTTTTGTCTCTCTCTCTCTCTCTCTCTCTCTCTCTCTCTCTCTCTCTACTCTTCAAGGGAAGTATGTAGCTTTTGATTCGATGGACTCGTTGAGTATTCCTCATCGTGGAGATCATCTTTCAACACCTCTTTCGTTGGTGGTTGTGCTAAGATATTGTTTTCAGTTATGTATTCTTTAGTTAACACTCGATCATAAGCAGCTACTTGTGATTTATGGAACCTCAAAGCATCGATGCATTGAAGCCTCGGTTATATAGTTTGATTAAGCTTGTAATTCGCGCTGAGCGTATACAAGTTCAGGGACTCCTTCGGTTGGCTGCTGCTGGTTTCATATTCAATTTTTTATGCATAGGACTCGCTTTGTACTTGATTTTATATATATATATATATATATATATATATATATATATTTGTTATCAATAATATTTGTGGACAGCCAAAGGAAAATATATCAGTTAGGATTTATGCAATCATTCAAATGCCATATCCATGAATTTTGTATTCAATATAATTGACGCAGAGCAAGATACTGATGATGGATTAGTCCTCCCATTGATGATAACAACTATCTTGGAAACTGAGACTTCAAAAAAGATCATATGCATTTAATTCACACTTGATAGAGAAAGTAATAATGTAGTCACTGCTTACTTATCCGGTGGTCGACCGTCACTTGTGCAGTGACGTGCGTGTAAGAACTTGTGCCCTCTTATGTAATCATCGACAAGAGCATCATCCTTCTTTTTTAATCTTCAACAATAAGGCTCATTTTTTCTTTCTTTCCTTTTTACGAGTCATCTATCGTAAGCAATCTTCTTTCGAGAAGATTGATACGTTCAAGAAGATTGATACGTTCAACAGTAGAGGACATTAATCCCAGACCAGCATGATTTAGTTCCTCTTTTTTCTCTTTCCGAACACCTGACATGATGAACCTTCTCCTACTTATCCCATACGGGCTTCGGCCATCGACATAAATAAGCTCTTGAACAATGTAACGAGCTCTTTGGCCAACCATCAATCGCACTTCATCGGTCGATCAGATATAAAACCCAATCACAAAACCTAATGAGGGCAAGTATCTCTACTATTTTCACTCCCCAACTGAGTTTGCCCTCAAAGGAGTCAAGTCAGAAATAAACTCAAATTTTGATCACTTGTGTAAGGATCTTGATGAGGCTAAAGAGCACTTTGAAACGATACCAAATTTATCTTTGACGAACAGGCAACATCTTGGGATTGTATTGATCGGATCCGCTCCCTACTCAAATATCTTCCGGTGTTTTTCGGAACTAAACCAAGCCATGACAACTCTACTGTCAATGACATCAAAACAATAATACCACCAAATATAACTCAACTCAAACCAAGAGGCACTCCCTTAATCCATACTTTCGACATTGACCAAATATACTTACGTGTATGGCCTCACCAATGTGTAAGCCAATGGTCTCTCTACGTAGAAAGTCCGATAATTATTTACTCAAACACCATTATAATCTGTGCCATAAGAGAGATCCAAATTGTCATAGGCCTTGGCGTGGATCTTTGCATGTAACAGTGCGACTCTGTGGAAGCAACTGCTAAGATAGATTAAGATAAATTAAGATCTGCATATAACGTGGATCTGTAGTTGGCGGTTAAGATAGATCTCGTAACGCCACATGCAACTGCTACGTGAACATCTTATTCCTTTTCTAGGGTTTCATTATGAATTAGAATCAAATCTTATCTACTGCTACAGTTGAGATAGATTAAGATAAACTTCGCTTTTATCCAAAGCTAAACAGAGTTCTTCACAATCTTCCTTCTCAACCTCCCTTGCTATATGAATCACTCGAAGCATTTCTCCCTTCTCATCTCTTCCTTCTTCTTTCTTGTGCAAGGAATTAAGATCCATGGCTCCTTGTTCTCTTCTGTCCATCCTTCTCTTCCTCTCAGTGGCCGCAACGATCGCCGCTGTCTCTTACGCTGACGACTTCCCGCCCCCCTACGACTTCACGCATGTCTGCGACCCCGACCGCTACAAGAAGCTCAACCTCAGCGTTGCCAAGTTCGCCTTCTGCGACAAGTCGCTGCCTTACCGTGCCAGGGCGAAGAACCTGGTCGACAGCCTGACGCTTCAGGAGAAGGTGACGCTTCTGGGGAACCAGAACGCCGCCGTGCAGCACCTCGGGCTCCCCCGCTACAACTGGTGGTCCGAGGCGCTTCACGGCGTCTCGAACTTCGGCGGGGGCTCCAGGTTCGGCAAGAACGTCCCCGGCGCCACCAGCTTCCCACTTCCGATCACGTCCGCCGCCGCATTCAACGAACAACTGTGGAAGGCTATTGGTCAGGTACGAACACGAAAGATAGTGTCACTGACATCAATCGAACATGATGAGGAAAGCACGTAGCAAGCTACAGGACAATGCATGTTATCTTGCAGACTGTTTCCACGGAGGGTCGAGCCATGCACAACGTAGGGATGGCAGGGTTGACCTTTTGGAGCCCTAACATCAACGTCGTCAGGGATCCGAGATGGGGAAGAATCTTGGAAACACCTGGTGAGGATCCATTTGTCGTCGGGCGTTACGCTGTAAACTTCGTGCGCGGCATGCAAGATGTGGTTGGCCAGGAAACTGCTGAGGATCCCAACACCAGGCCTCTCAAAGTCTCCGCCTGCTGCAAACACTACGCTGCTTACGATCTCGACAACTGGGCTACTACCGGCAGTGCTGTGGTCGATCGCATCCATTTCAATGCCAATGTAAGCTTCGATCGTACCACTTAATTCGGTAGTTCTCTTTACTTTCTTCATTTATGTGATCATTGATCATATGAAGGTAACTGAGCAAGATATTGTGGAGACGTTCCTTCGCCCATTCGAGATGTGCGTTAAGGAGGGCGATGTTAGCAGTGTGATGTGCTCATACAATCAAGTCAATGCCATTCCGACTTGTGTCGACGCAAGGCTGTTGAGGGGAACCATTAGAAACGACTGGGAACTTCACGGGTATTCTTTATATAAAGATTAGTGTTTCTCTACCTTTAGTTGTTTAATATGATCTACATTTTTCTTCAGGTACATAGTTTCTGACTGTGATTCGATTGATGTGCTCCTCAACACTCAAAAGTTCTTAGACGACACACCGGAGGATGCTGTTGCCCAAGTCCTTAGAGCAGGTAAATCCTCTGAAAGCAGAAGCCATATCTGATCATTTTGGGATAAATGGATGCATATTTTGTTAATGCAGGATTGGATTTGGATTGTGGTGATACTTACACCAAGTATCTCGAGTCAGCTACGTTCAGAGGACTGGTCAAAGAAAGCGAACTTGATCAGGCTTTGATCAATAACTACGTTGTCCTCTTGAGGCTTGGATTCTTTGATGGCCAACCTGCGTATGATAAGTTGACTGCCTCTGATGTCTGCTCGAAGCAGCATCTCGATTTGGCGACCGACGCAGCTCGGCAAGGGATCGTTTTGCTTAAGAATTCCAATGGTGCTCTGCCTCTGAGCACCAAGAGGCACAAGAACATCGCCGTTGTCGGGCCCAACTCTGCAGACAACTCTGTTCAGATTGGGAACTACGCAGGTTCTTCTGCTTGGCTTTGATCTGCTCCTTAACGTGCAAAAGCCGCAGCTAATTGATGGCCTCGTTGTGTTGTCTTTTTTTAAGGCGTTCCATGCAAGTATGTCACAGCTGTCGACGGCCTCCGAAGGTATGCCAGCGTCGATCACAAGATCGGCTGCGCCGACGTCCGCTGCCAGAATGAGACCTTCATATTCCCTGCGGTGAGGAGTGCGAGGAACGCAGACGCTACCGTCATCGTTGCAGGCCTTAACCTTGACATCGAGAGAGAAGACCACGATCGAACCGACCTCGAGTTGCCTGGCTACCAAAACCAGCTTATCAGACAAGTTGCAGATGCCTCGAAGGGCCCTGTTGTTCTCGTCATCTTCTCGGCCGGCGGCGTCAACGTTACCGAGTTCGATGTCTCTGACAAGATCAGCGCCATCGTGTGGGCTGGTTATCCCGGCGAGAAAGGCGGTGATGCCTTAGCCGATGTGCTCTACGGATCATACAATCCTGGTAGGATTCAGTATGCTGTTTTCTATCACACCTTGAGCATAGGAACTCATAGATTTGCATTGATACAGGGGGAAGGCTCCCGCTGACATGGTACACGCCGGAATACCTGCTCCAGCTGCCGATGACGTCGATGAAGCTTCGCCCGGTCGACGAACTTGGCTACCCCGGAAGGACCTACAAGTTCTACAACGGCACCACTATATACCCATTCGGATACGGCCTGAGCTACACCACTTTCAGCTACTCCGTGGTCTCAACCCAGAGGTACGTCGACAAGAAGCTGGCGCCCAACAGCCACTGCACGCTGCTTCGCTACAACCAGTCGGCCTACGTGCCGCCTTGCCATGCCGCTCGCGTCGACGACCTCGACTGCGCCGACGACATCAGCGTGACCGTCGAGGTGAAGAACACGGGAAGCCTGGACGGCTCCGACGCCGTGATCCTGTACTCGCAGGCCCCGGACGGCATCCTCGGCGCTCCGATCAAGCAGGTGGTGGGCTTCCAAAGAGTGTTGGTGGAAGCCGGGAAGAGCAGCAACGTGACCTTTAGTCTTAGCTCGTGCAAGAGCTTGAGCATCGTGACGGACTCGGCTTACGTTGCGGTGCCGTCGGGGCGTCACACCTTCATCGTCGGCAGCGGTGACAACGCCGTTCCATTTGCTTTCCAGGTTTACTTGAGGGATTAGGGTTGGAAGGTCATGTTGGTGTGTGGTGTTTAGGCTGTCGGTGGGTAGTCATATTTCAACTCTTGGTTGAATGGTTGGAACATTGGTTGATGTTCAAATAAGGAGAGAGCAATACGTGAGGAACATTACATTTGTCAAGGAGTTAAATAAAGTCCACAAGTTTCCACTACTTGAAGCAGGATGGTCAACCATTCCAAGGCGACCGTAGTCATAAACAATGTGATTTATTTCATGTGGCAGGCACCCATAGCAATAGGAGGGTTCAAAGTTGCACATCCTGCCACCAGGCTATCCGTTTCATGCTCCAATTTTCCAAGCATTTGATGATCTATATAAACTCCTCTCATGCAATCGATCCTTCATTCACTCCACACAAAAATAGCTATGGGTGCGTCTCGGGATGGGGTATCGATGGAGCTCGTCGTTTCGGTCTGTCATCTTGTGGAGCGTTGGGAGAGCTGATGCGGCGAGCGAGGGCTGTGCCGCGCGGCTGCTTCGACGGGGAGAGCCACCTGGCGTACCCGGGTATGTACGAGAAGGGCGAGGACGGCCATGGCGTCGTGGATGGCGAGGTTGCCGTCGGGGCCGAGGCCCAGGGGACCCAAGATGTTTTACTTGTTGGTGTAACACTGTAAAAACGACGAGAGACACAGAGAATTCCATTTCCCTGATGATGATGAAAGAAAGTGTTAATTGCTCCAAAGTTGTAAATTTCTTGAAAACAAAAAGACTGACTAGTCATCGGTCGACACATGGAAAGAAATGTTTTTATGCATGCCAAAATAACGTAAGCGTAGATACGCTGAAGATTGAACGGTTGCAGTCTTATTTATTAAGCATAGAGTCTTCTTCTTCTGCACATGAGATTCTGAACTAGTAGTTAGTACATGATTCAAAGTCTTATTTATTAAGCATAGAGTCTTCTTCTTCTGCACATGAGATTCTGAACTAGTAGTTAGTACATGATTCAAAGTCTTATTTATTAAGCATAGAGTCTTCTTCTTCTGCACATGAGATTCTGAACTAGTAGTTAGTACATGATTCAAAGTCTTATTTATTAAGCATAGAGTCTTCTTCTTCTGCACATGAGATTCTGAACTAGTAGTTAGTACATGATTCAAAGTCTTATTTATTAAGCATAGAGTCTTCTTCTTCTGCACATGAGATTCTGAACTAGTAGTTTGTACATGATTCAAAGTCTTATTTAAGCATAGAGTCTTCTCCTGCACATGAGATTCTGAACTAGTAGTTAGTAGATGACTCAAAGTCTTGTTTAAGCATGAGTCTTTGTGCACATGAGATTCTGAATTAGTAGTTAGTGGATGACTCAAAAAACGTTCTCCCAAACCATTGTCCCTTTTTCCTACAATATGTACAAAACTTTATTAAAAATAAATCACATTGCATCAAGGGTTCCACTCTCTTTATTACTACTCGTCGAGCTTGTGACTACAAATATAAGGAATTAAAAGTGATTCTGAAAAATAGGGATATTGAAATTTTATAAACATATTGGATCATATCTTTATCAACTTAATTCTTTCTGATTTATGTTTATTTGGTTAAAATCCGATAAATTTAAACTATATTTCTCGGGATTTGTGCTTAAGCAGTTTAATCATTTATGTCCTCTCCCTCTCCAAAAAAAAATAAAAAAACAAGACAGACTGTTCTCTGTCAAGGGTATCAATCTCTACTTGTTTAAATAATCTTAATCTTAGGTAGTATCTGGTCTTACAATAAATATAAATCAGGATTTAGACGTCTTGTTCTTCAACGGCTTTTACATTTTGTCATAGTTTGACCTTTAGATTGTGTGTATATATACAAACAACATTACAATAAAAACTGGTTGTCATGATACCATTGACATAAAAAAATTATGTTATAAATTTAACTTCTATGAACAAGTATAAAAATTGAATAGTGAGTTCCAGAAAAAAAAAAAAGGAACCGTCTAGTAATCCCTCTACACTTCGTAAAACTACAACCAAGGGGCAAAAAACCTATAGACCTTAGCTTTCAGGTACATGAATGTTAATTCATGACTCATAAAAACTGAACAAAAGCTTCAAAATCTAAAACATTACTCGTATATTTTCCAATGTCATTCATTCATACTCCAAATAAAAATAAAAATAAAAAGACAAGAAATCTTATGTGCCTAATTGTTGAAACACACATTTAGATGGTGAATGAAGCATCAATGCCCATCGTAGCAAGTCTGTTAACACCCAAATAGCATGATTACATGTGATATGTATTCAGATAAGATGCATATCTCTGACGTTGTTTAAACAACACCGAACCTTCAGGATGCAGCTACACCATGCTTCACTTTTTCTGTTAGGAACTGTCGAATGTGTTCACGTTTCCAGTTGTCTATTCTGTTAATCAACGGGGGAAAGAAACAAGATGAGCGATACATGTATCACATGAAAAGGAGAATCCATTTCAGCATAGAATATACAGATTAATCTTCACCACCATTATGTGCTGATGATAATTTATATAGGTCCTAAAATGGCCATATGTACACCTACCACATAAAACATTATGTAGGGTATATGATAACGTCACAGGGTTAGTTTAAAGTCTTCTAAAGATTAGCCGGAGGGCTAAGCAAACCAAGGTTTTAATATCAGTTATCAGTCTGATACCATTTTGTTCCGAATAAATATAAATGGTATTGAGACATCAACATACCAACCTGTGATGCTCAGTATCACTGACAAAAATACTAAAAAGACCTGTATAGCAAGAGATACTGAGTTGTATGGTCCACAACTCCAGTATTTCAAATCATGAAGCAAATTGCCAAGCCTCGAGACATTCTTGTATGAAAAGGAATTTTTCTATCCAAAAGATTAATATAACCTTGGAGTCATGTAGATACTTGTGAAACCACTAATGTATATTTGGACCTATCTATTCAGACTCCGAAAATTATGGCTTGACGAAAATATAAAACAGGAACCAAACTAGAATTTTCAAATGATTGGCAGTTAATCAATGATGATAGGTTTTCTGTCAGATATATGGAAATGTTCTAGATCAACAGGAGGAAAAACAGTTAAGTACACCACTAATCTATTCCCAGAACAAAGATGAAAAGCTTCTTTGAGACTAAGGTAGAGCATTTGTCTCTTCAAAGACATTACTATAAGCATAAAAGAACGCAGTCATTTATTGTCTGCCCTCCTATTCTGACCTTTCTGAAAGTCATCAACGTCTACAGTTGAACAATGCACACAAGCAGCAATTCAGAGATCAAACAATAAATTCCTTTCCTTTTTTGCAGTACAAGTACAACAATGACCCAATGAACACCATCATTGTAGGCAGGTTCTTCTAACTTGATTAAGACTAGCTATTATCAGATGATCCCCCTTCAAAGAGACCAAAGTGCATATAGTCTATATGGCTCAAATGACTAAAAGCTTGGCAGAAACAAGGTATGGTGATGTTTAAGATGCCAGTTACAGGTAAAATTATGATCAGGGGAATAGTTCTATAAACATGATTAAATCAATATTCAGAGGCGCTGAAACAAGGTGGTCATCATGATATTATTGGATGATAAAAAACAGTTCCATTAATATGGTATGTTGAATACGGAATGCAGAATATAGTGGCAGGAAAGCAAAAGCTAAATGTCACATCTGTGCCATTGGATGCTGCAACTAGTCTGATGAGGCATGGAGCAAACACGTGCCTTGCCAACATGTAATACAGGCACAGGATCAATGCACATGTCAGGAACAAGTAGTACCATACCTATATGTCACATCTGTGCCATTGGATGCTGTGACAAGTCTGATGAGGCATGGGGCAAACACGTGCCTTGCCAACATGTAATACAGGCACAGGATCAATGTGCATGTCAAGAACAAGTAGTACCATACCTAGCATTTCAATGGTCAGGCATCATGGATATGATAACTGGCAATTAAATTCATGAAAGAAAGCATGTGAAACATGTGATGCAACTCAATATACAAGAACAATTTACACCCTAGAACACTTTCATGTTCACCAGTAATGAATCTCAGAACAGATATAGATAGTGGGGTTACCATCTGCTAATATTGTATAATGTAATAAGTCCATTATCATCATGCACCAGATATATTGATCCGTAGAAGTCAAGCACAACTTCTTAAAAAATATTGAATATGCTATGAACAAAAGATAAAAAGAGCATTCTATGAACTGACCTTATGATTTCCTTTTGATTACCCTCACCATCCAGCATGATAAGTTTTGGAGGAGATGCATAAGCATATTGAACTTTGACATATGGGAATTCATCTTTTTCTTCTTCTATGAACGCTACGACTTCAGGATAGAATACCAATTTCCTCATGCATACTTCCAAAATTACACCGGAGAATGTAACCTGCAAGTGTCAAAGTTGGCCACATTTCAGTTGATTAAAGGAAAAAAAAAGATTCCTATTATTTAGTGATGTTTTACTGATTTTTGGAGAACAAAGATGCATAACCACCATTAACTACTAAACAAACCTTGTGCCTATATCACAATTTTTTTTATTAGCACACCAGCTACAAGACCAGTCAGTCTAGATAATATATAGAAGCATGATTGATCTCACCCTAAATCTGCTTCAAAACTATTGTTCATACATTAGACGGGGCGATATTCATGGTGTAATGGTGACACGATAAACCTATTAGATGAGCTATAGATATACATTGCATAAAAGTTCTATAGGAAACAACTTTACTACTTTATTGTCTTAGACAAGAATGAATGATGTTAAGATGGAAACAACAGTTGTTCAAAGTTTGCGATAAAACAATTTTTCAATCCCATTTATGAGGTTCGTCTTACCGGTGCATATCGGTGTACCAACCGTTCGACGATATAGTAAGTGCCACTTCATACCAACAAACCATGTGTCAATATGACAAAGCATAATGACAACATGGAAAAATGGCCAAATATGGCTTAAAAATTCCTAAAAATGAAAAAAAAATTAGATTAGAGTTTTTAAGTTAAAAATAAATATGAATTCAGTATAATTTTAGAAAAAAATCTAAAATAAGAAAGAATAGTAGCACATATCCAGTGATTGAAAAAGGCGCTCGGGTGCTGCTCGCGACTCCCGCGAGCCCCTCCCTTTCCCGCTGCCACTGCCGTCGCTCGTCGCTGCTTCCTCGTTTCTCCGTCAGGCTTAGTATACAGTATACTCTTAATATTAAGTTTATTTGAATTTTGAAATGATTAATTTTCAATACTGTTAATAGATTAATAATATATTATTTTGATTTTAATGTTGTTAATTTTTATTTATTTGAAATTATTGCTAGGTTTCAACATAAATGACTTTGATGTAAAATTTTATTGTTTTGAATTTTGAAACTTTTTGTTAATGTGATATTGTGATTTTGTATCTTAGATTTTCTTAATTTAATAGCATATTTTTATTTAAAATTTTAAATAATTATATTTATTAATTATATTATATATTTTTATATTTTAGCGCCTCGCTTCGCTCGGGCGAGCGCTTGGGCGAGCGCCTAGCGCCTCGAGCGTTTTTGGACCTTGGCGCCTTTTGGCGCCTAGCGCTTTTTAAATCATTGCACATATCTTTTTCGGGCTTTGAGGAGGAACTTTATGGTAAATTCTGGACCATCCTTTCATTGATATTAAATTATTTATAAAGAAATAATTTAAATTATTAAATTAATTGTTAAACAACTTAAGCTTTAAGATTCAAATGAATCAAGTAATTGATTAATGGATAGACCTGGTTCTATCACAAAAAAAAAAGATGGGACTCCATGAGTGGTTGATCAAGGTCTTCAATCCTATGTATCTATATATCAATTTGATATGTTTATCAGACCCAATCCTAAAATTGATCTCATGATAGTATAATGATACATTGTATGCCATTGGTGCATCAATGTGATGATAATTGTAATTTGACCGTCATGAATCACACGTGTCTAACGCGACTTTTGAGGAAAGTACGATTGTGACATGTATTGGTGCAGAACATGAAAAATGTCAAAACTTTTACTTTTACCATTGATTTGTGCTCCGTATCATAAGATCGATCACCATACTGTTGCTCGGAGAAGAATGACCAACTATCATGTTAAGCTTTATGATCTAAATCTTGAGTGGAATGAATAAAATACTGCTCCTCGATCCATGCACCACCCTCAAACTACAAGACCATCAGCTCCCTAGTGTTGCCGCCATCGTTGGTCGAGGCATTGTTATCCACGTTGCTACCATATCTCCGGACCGAGCTGGTTGCTGAATGCGATTAAGAAGTTATCTACATACCTTTAATTAGAGAGTTCTTCTAACCTGGGTGTTAATCCTCTCTAATTAGCCTCTAAAGCTAGATACAATCCACAAATCACAACTTTATGGAATTTGGAAACATGGTATATAAGTCATGAGAGAATGAGCGAAATATATAAGTGAAAAAATGATTGAGAGAGTAGCTGAGTTAGAGAGAGTGAAAGAGGAGAGAATGAGGGGGTAGAAAGGATTTGGAAACATTAGATCTAGTTTAAACGGTTAAATGGACCGTTTGAATTCAACAAGTCCCAACCATTGATCGATATCAATTGAAATCCAACCGCCATTGAATTTCGACTGTTCCGACTAGTACAGACCCCGCATCGAACGATACAAGACCCCTTGTTATATACCGCCTGAAACAAGATAGCCCATGTGTCGATTCCCTATTAGATCGATATGTACCACCCATACCGCTCCGTATAGCTTGGCATGGTGAACCATGTGTACGACTACCAAGTTTGACCCCCAACCGAAGAGGTTCCATATTCAGATCTTTTGATTATATATGTTATTCAACTTTGCTATAATGTCTAACACGAAACTAATCCTATTTATCTCTTGCTCAAATAAATTTGATTAGTTTAAAAGTTATTTTACATATCATAAATTGTCACAAGGCAACATACTGAATAATTATGATCTAGTTTCCTAGTTTACTCAAGGAAGAATAAAATGTGAAAACAATTTGAAAAAAAAACAAATTATGATTGTGATTGAAGATTTCAGATCCTGATAAAAGATTTTTGTGAAGATTAATCTGTATGAGAATTGAAGTATATCAACCAAGAATATTATCTTCTTCAAAGGGAAGATCAAATCACATATTTGATTTTATTCAGTTATAAATTTTTCACTTTTGCATTTTCCTTTTCTTTTCTTTCACTTAGCAGGACAAGAATATTGTAATTCAAAAAAAAAATCAAAAATGGATCAATGAAATAAGTTATTTTCCCTACTTAAGTGTGAGTGGAGTGAGACCACATTTGTTTTCCGATGGCATGATTCCAACGTCTATGTGCGAGACGTGCGAAGATAAGAGCCCTTAATCTTGGGAGTGTTCTCCTTGAGCCAGAGCAATATGGTATTTATCCATTTCTTTTTCTATTATCTTTCAGTTACTATATTCTATTTCTCTCTTTTATGTTCCTCTATTATCAAAAAAAATATTTTGCTCTCTCATCCTACATCAGATTTGGTATCAGAAATAATGAAGATATTCTATCATCAAGTCAATCTGTATCTCAATTATATGAACTCAGGGCAAGTTCCTGTGTAATGGAAGCGTATAACGTGGAACCAATCTTATCTCTCTTATTCAAATAAATTTGATTAGTTTAGAGATTATTTTTGCATATCATAAGTCGTCACATGGCAACATACTAAATAATTCTGAACTAGTTTCCTACTTTACTTAACATATTCAAATAAATTTGATTGGTTTAGAGATTATTTTGCATATCATAAGTCGTCATATAACAACATACTAAATAATTCTGATTTAGTTTCCTACTTCACTCAACGAAGAAGAAAATGTAAAAAGAATTAAAAAAATGATTGAAGATTTCAAATTCTGATAAAAGATTTTGTGAAGATTGATCTCTGCGAAGATAAAAGTATATCAATCAAGAATATTATCTTCTTCGGCGAGAAGAACAAATAATATATTTAATTTGATTTAATTGTAAATTATTCACTTTTACATTTTCCTTTTCTTTTCTTGTACTTAGCCTATAAAAAGTATACATGGGCAAGAACATTGTAATGCAAAAATAAAAATAAAAAATGAATCAATAAAATGAGTTTTTTTTCCACCTTAAGTGTGAATGGTGCAAGGCAATATTTGTTTTCCAATAGCATGATTTCATCATTGATACGGGGGGTAATGCAAAATGGATCTCGAAAGAAAGCCGATAGTAGAAAAGGAACGAACCCACGATAATACTATAATAAAATTGAAAAAAAGAGCTCGCCACCAAGTTTAAAATCATAAAGGGATACAGAAAGTTCACCACCCCAAGGATAGTAAATAAGGATACAGAACTGAAAACAAAAGACTCACCACTCAAAGAAGCATCCAAGAGATACAGAGTTTAAGAGAGAACTCCAATAGAGCTTCTGCCAATATCATCAGTTTCTAAACCTCCTTTTAACCCCTAAACACCAAAATAAGTACTAGTGCATGAGACAACCCTTCATGCATAGGGAATTATGAAATTAAGTGTTTTACAACTGGTAACCAACTTCTTTAATGTATTTCTTGGTTATGAAGAAAAACACCTTGAAACAGCTGTAGGGAATGTGCTCATGAGCTGTCATATTTGAGTGGGCTGAGAAAAAGACTATGAGACAACATTATGGGCTGGTAGAGAATACCATAGCAACAGCTAGGTCCACACGAGTTAATTGTAGCGAATTAGGCACTCTCGTATCAATCATTCACATGTGAGACGTGCGAAGGTGCAAGTCCTTCATCATGGGAGTTTTCTCCTTCAACCAAAGACTCGAAGCCAAAGCAAGTTTGGTATCTATTTATTTGTTTTCCTAGTATCTTTCAATTACTATCTTTTATTCCTCTCTTTTATGTTCATTTATTATCAAAAAAATATTCTACCACTCTCATCCTACATCACAACCTTTTATCTTTTATTAAAATAAATATCAGATTAAACCAAGATAACCCTTTGTAAACAACCAATAAATTATAAAGCTCTTATTTTATTGGAAAAGGTCACTCAAGATCCATGACATTTTCAACTTCTAGAAGAAATTTTGCTACAGAGAACATATCCAGTATCAGATTGCTAGATTTGTTAATGTAAAGTAACATCGTCAACGCCTGTGAGATGATATGGATGACTTATTTGCATATCTCGGATAAAAACATCAAGATAACAACATCGAATAGAACCGAAGTCGTCATGTCATCTAACTTACCATGATAGATAGAGCTAATATAATAAAGTTTATCATTCAAAATTAAGTATATAGAATGCACACTATCAGAGCTCCAAGCCTCCTCATCAATCTTGATGACACTTTTTATTATACAACCTAGCATGAAGCTTACTGCACCTAGGCCAGAGTGAAAATACAGTGCCTAGCATATGCAAATCAAGTAGACCATATAACTTTATTGCGACTCGAATCAAATGAGGGAGATTAAATGGTCAAAAGGGAAACAGGAATAAATGCAAACAAAATTTCAATTCCCAGTTAGTGGCAAAAGTTGATGAAACACTAGCCTCGTATTTGTAAGGTTTAGAATCAACATGGTTAATTTTTAGTACATACCTTGCTTATGGAATCATTGGAATCCTCTGAGCAGCATTTGCGGCAATCCGATACCAATTCTGCAGTCAAAATCAAACAGAACACTTCACATACTTTCTTTCTAAAGCATCTGACTTCTTATTATTTTTTAATGTGATATTTCAAAACAGAAGTTTTAAATCATCCCAAATACATGTCATCAGCTATACCCATTAGTGTCTTTAGCTGCATAGCAACATTTGATGAATTGCAAAAACCATAAACACAAAGACTTGCAATTTCTTTTGACGTACACGCAGATGAGCGAATGGTTCGCTTGCCAATATTTTTTTTATTTCAAGGAAGGAGCAACATATTATAGGAAAACTTTTTCCTGTGCGCAAGCTTAAACAAAGGACAAAAACTGTGTTAGGCAGCTAACAGCCAACAAAAAACTTCTGTTAGAATTTATGAACATAGATCTGTCTAAACGACAAGAAAAGAGTCCATGCATCCAACAGCAAATAAATGGGGCCTTACAGTTTCCTGTTGTTAATAATGGTGGTGGGCAATTGTAGGAATAACTACATAAAGCAAGACGTTCACTTAACAGTTCAATGAAGGAAGATATAAGGTTTTAGCTTCCAAAGCCATTTTGTGGGCTAAGCAATGCTGAGAGATATACCTGAACTGATGAGACCATAGCATTAATTGTCATGAATTTTCAAGAATATAGACTATATTGTACTAATTTCAGCGGATAGTGAAACACTAGTGCCATGGTCTACTACCCATGTACCAAGGTTAAACCATATACCCACAGCACTTACTGGATACTAGTACAAGTTTGTTGGTATCACGTTGCGATACCATGGTACATGATGGTTTGACCAGGTTCCAGTACCAGTGTTGGACCAAAATTTAAAACCTTGGATAAAACCATAACTGCTCTTCTGTATTGAAACTCTTTCAATTCTCTCTAATGTCAAACTAGTCTCTACTAATTTCTTTCATTCTTCATAATTCTTTGGGGTTTCAGAAAAAAAAATCTAAAAAACAAAATCACTAGAGCAGAGACGTAGTTGCCAAACAATTAAGTAACAACAATGTATGCCCCTAGATGAAGTGTCGACACACACTGAAAAGCACAGCATCCTGATTCCAAACGACTGTTGCTTCCTTGATGTGCACTAAGCTAGATTGTAATAACTTGTGCCAAGACAAATCAAGAAGCACAACCATCCGGACCCCAGGACCCCAACCCCTCTGGCTCCCATGATGTGCGCCATGCCAGTCTATCATAGCTTAAGCCAGGATCAGCACTAAATCAGCAAACATGGCCTCTTTTTAACGCATCATGGGCCCACTAGGTTACATTCGTGCGAGAAGCAACTATTCAAACTAGCCAAGGTTGAACAGCTGATGTGCGTTTCATACGAACTAAGCAATTCAAGAGTACCAAAAGAAAGAAAGAAAAAAATGTCAGAATATAGAAACTATTCATCTCAGGATCGCAGAGGACCCTAGGGTTTGAGATGATCGATGTTTGCGGCATCAAGAATAAGGAAACGGAAAATTGAAAGATGCACACAAATCGGAAGCGTCGCCTCGGATCGTAACTAAGATAGAAGAGAGGGGAGAAGTGACCTAAATTGGGACGAGGAGGATGTACCTTCATCCTTGACGTACTCGGCGAGGGTGTTGCAATCGGAGCAGAGGGCGAGACCCGTGAACCCTAAGTCCTCGCACTCCTTAGCGCCGAGTCGCTCGCCGAGACCGAGGGCTGCGGCGGCGAGCCAAGTGGCAAGGAGGAAACACAGGGCAAGGGTGGATCGGATCATCTGTCGCTCTGTGAAGTAGCCGAACGCCTGTGCTCCTTCGCGAAGACCTACAAGGCCAGTTATAACGGGAAATCAAGCGAACCTGTCATAAACTTATAACGTTTCGTTATAAAATTTCATAACAGATGATAACAATTGAAACGTGCGTTATTTCAAGGATTGCAGGAGCCTTGGCAGACTCCCGATATGTCCACGATAGATGTATATGTAGAGTCCGCTCGACCCCTTCGCGTGGAGCCGCCCCTTCCGTTTACGTCGCAGGCCCCTGTGCATCTTGGCGCAGGCCCTCGGGTCTTTTCGATCCCTTGCTCTAGCTCTCCCTTATGGAGCTGAGGGACTGCGAGGAGTTGCTCAAGGTGTTGGACTCGTGCCTGTCGCGCATCAAATGGCGCCTGAGACCTTTGGCGAGGCGTCGTCTCGAGACGGGTCCTTTTTTCCGTTTCCCCTTATTTCTTATTTGTTCTATATCGTTTTGGTTGCTTTTCTTCCTGGTCCTTCTAAAGATTGGATTTTTGTGGTGCTGCCCGGTCTGATTTCAGCAGCCGCTTATTATTCTCGGGTCAATTTTTTTTGGTCTGCTGTGAAATATTTGGAATTGATGCTCTTTTCGTCTGTGAGTTTTGGCTGAATGCTAGAGTTCTGATCTTGGAAGCAACGTGAAACGTGGGGAAGGGGGTGGGAGGGAGGGTCACCGAGAGACTAAAGATGGTCGTTCTCTTCAATAATAGTTGATTTAGTGCCTTGTTTCTATAATTTTACTGTTCATTATGGGTTAGTGAGATAAAGGTTCATCCTAGCAGCAATATCCCATCTTTGCCCACTTTCGGGATGCATGTAGCAACTTACAGATGCTAATCTGTTCCGAGTCCACAATTTCGGACTTCGAACTGTAAAATAGCAACACCAATCATGTCCATTTTAGTTGCTTTTTTTTCTCCTTTTTTCAGTCTTTTCCTTCTATTACTTTCCTGGTAATTGTATATGCTTCTGGGTCTAATGTAAAACTCGTGAACCCCTCTCCTTTTCTTCCCAGTAATTGTTTGACAGAATGTGTAATACCTTATCTATTGTAAGGTTTGGGTTGAGGAGTCATATTTGTTAAATTTTTTTATTTAGAAATTGTCACTTCAATGAAATAATAGCAACAGTTGTTTCTTTATTGTTTCTAGTTTTCTTATTATACTTATCGTTTATATTTTGTTTCACAGATTTCCTCTCGTATTCGTATCTTTTGCATATCTGAAAACGATGAGATGTTGTTTCAGCACTTTGATTGCCTTAATGGATCCTAATCAAAGACAAGGCTGCAGTAGAACTTTCAATTATATATTCATGTGCCCTAAAATATTGACATTCCACTGCAACCACAATAAGGTGACCAATGGTGGTCTACATCATTTTGATTGAAGGATCCTTAAGAGCTTTAAATCAGCTCTCACAGTATAATGATGAAGAGGATCCTTATCACATTCCCATTGTATTGAGAGTTGAGACTATAATTTCATGGTCTACATATCTGTTATTCCTTCCAAGATAGGTAAGCCCAAATAATTCCACGAGCTCTTACATTTACTTGTCCTAAAATCTGAGAACAAAGAAACATGTTAACTGGTTACAAACTATATGTGGGCCATCCATAGATGCATAAATCTAGCTTTTCAGTTAGTAATTGCCATCTGCTACATATATGGATATTGATTTGTTACTAATGGTCATGCATTCCATATGTGCATGCTAAGGAATTTCCAAGGAATCTGCAGGGCATCACCTAGGTCACTGCTTGAGTTGTGCATAACATGACAAATGATCCATTACTTTGCCTCATGATAGCGGCAAGCCACCGGTGGGGTCTGTAGTTACACCAATGCAATCCCAAGGACATATATGCTGAAGTTATAAAAAGAGACAAGCTTGCATATGTTTTTCTGAAAAGCATCACTTTTTGTATCATAGCACTTGAAATAAATATGACTCGATCAGTATAAAACACCATATATTTTGTCATCTATCCTGACAAATTATTACTCAAGATTCCATATGCAGATATCCTGGCTTTGTGCACGAGACTGAGACCTGTGATATTGGTGGACTATGATGGAATTATGCCTAAACTTCAAGAGAATCTATCTGCACTTTTATTTCTTGCTCAGAAGGTCTTGAACTTGGATAATCTCAAATCTTTCTTCTTGTCCTATTATAGTTCATTCTATACATCATACAACCTATCTATTCAGCCCATATGATGTTCTCTTCTGATTCTAGTAGTTGTGTCACATCTACATCTCCTTCATTTGGTTTCTAGATGTTAACTACAGCATCCTCTTACCTCATTTAGATTCTAAAGGTTTTTTTTTTGGTTGCACTGGATTAGTCCATAATTGATTATGTTAATTTTTTGACTGAAATGGTGAGACATGTTTTATCAGATTCCAGCAAGGTTAGACATGTTCTTTCTAGAGACTACATGAATGATGAGAAACTGAATCTTTGTCACTTCCTAAAAAAGTTCTTCATCTAAAATTATGTTTTTAAGGTGTCTACTTCATTGTATGATCATTAATATTGTGCCAAACAAGCAGATGGTGTACACTGGTTTAGGTAAGAAAAGTGTTGTTGAAACCTTTTTTTTGCAATGACAATTGTTTCCATGTGAATTTTTCACCAAAATATTTTGATGATTCATATACTTTTGGTCTCCTTGTTAAATGAAAATGTCAAGTTTCTCAGCAGAAGGAAAACTAATGCTAATGAGTGGCTACTTAGATATCTGTAAATGTGGCTTTCTAGCTGTACTGATAAGACAGTGTGATGTTTGTCTTTCTAAGCTTTAGGACTGCCCAAATTACACACTTAATGTGTTTCTTTGACATAATTTTTCAATGGAAAGACAAACTCTTTCCAATACCTATGAAGAAGCACCACTGTGAATTATGCTTGGATGGATCATAATGCATGGAAGTTTTTTCTCCTGCAAGGACCATAAAAAATAGTACTACTAGTTAGTTGATGACACCTGGATGCTATTTATGTAAATTCATACTGCATTGGACTGCTTCTTTATACTAATTACTTGCCAGTCGTAGAACAATGGGAATGGAGCAACTGGGTTGGTTAACATAACTATTAAATTTACAAATATCCCCTTTGATGAATCCATACAACTTTTTAGTTGTGTTGCTTGATCACTCTTTCTTCTTTTGGTTCTGCTCAACTTTTAGATCATCTTATTTCTATTGCAGGAATCAAATGATTTACAATATTTGAGAATAATGATCTTAGATGACATGGCTTACATCATTCATGTCAAAGAACTTGCTGAGCATGTCTTATCAAGTCTCGGGTCAGAGCAGCAGCTAACTCTTCTGGATCTTGAGCAGTATCCTATGAAGGTTCCTTTTTTTATTTTCCAAAGATTCTGTTACTGTCACTTAGTTATCATTGCCATTATTTGTTATTGTTAACTTGCAGATCCTTTCACCAAGAGAAGAGAATGAAGTTGCATCAGACTTTGTCTTAATCCAAAAGCTACTTTCATCGGCCTTTCCTGTTGAAGTTGAAAAAGGCCACATGCCTAGTGTGCTTCCTTCCTTGGGAAAACCAGGAGTGGAGACTTCACATCTAAATGCTGTTGGTCTTTCTAATTTAAACGGGCATTCTGCTCCTCAACCTGCTGATGTTATTGATCTTAGCAGCTTTCTACAAGATGTAAGGGTCACCTTACCTTCTCTGAACGGGTTAGTTCCACATAAAATCATAGAGAACACTCTTCTATTTTCTACCATATAAGAAGTTACTAGTTGAACAGTTTGGAAAAGCATCAGACTGTCGTTATCACCAAATTCACAATTAACAACAACATTAGGATGGAGCAAGGGTAGTTTCTATCAAATCTATCCCTATTGCCACTCAAAAGCCCTGCCTTATTCTTGTCTCTTGCCCGGATTAATAAATTCAACAACATTCTCGAACTTCAAACTGATGGCATTGGAACTTTTCTGCACTGTCCCAGTATGAATAGCTTATTGGATTACATGCAATATCAAAGGACAGGGATAAAAGTATATTGCCCCAGTTTGGGTCCTGATCGGCTTTTGAAAATTATATCTTGACCTTGCCCATTCATTGGTCGAATTTGGTCAAACCCAGCCCAATTGGGCAATGATCAGGCCAGTGCACTGAGTCTGATTTAGATATACCATCACCATTCGCATTTTGTGTTCTGAATTATTGTATTCGATTCTTTACCTTATTCCTGTGTTCCTTAGCTTCTAGTTCCACCCTTATTATTCCCCTCATCCAGATTCTTTAAAATTCAGGAGACTTCCACTGTGTGTTCTTTGATGGCATAGCCTAAGTTTGTCCTAATTGTGAACTTCTGTTACAGAGCATCGGTAATGTTTTCTCATCCAGTGAGAATGATTGAAAATTATACTTATGCTTTTTAACACAATTATTCTTAATATTTACTTAGAAACCTTCTTTGTAGGAAAAACACTTCAATTATCCCAGGATGCCTTTGTGATTTCTGCATAATGACTAGTACAAATACATGTAGTCTGATATATCTGAAATGAGCTTTTTCGGTGTCTTATATAAGTCTTAGGGCAGATGCCACTGGGATGGTGCTCACTCCTACTAATTATGAGAGTATGTCTACCATTACAAGAATCTTCTATTTTCATCCTACATGTGTTGTATCAAACAACTCTTCCGTCTTGTGCATATGCCTTTTCTTCTTCCCAGTGTTTATAATCTTCATATACTGCATGACAGAGACTTGTGAACTACATATCCTCATATCTTCTATTTTACAAATCTGCTTGGTCCTGAAATTGCTGCAGGTGGCTTCTTGGTTATCCTGTTACGTATTTGTTCAGCAAGGAGCATGCTGAAAAAGCTTCATACAATCTTTCCACCAAGTCTCTTCGTATATTCAAAATTTTCATTTGCAGGTTTAAATTTAAATTCATATCCTCAAATTACTTTTGGTTCTGGCACCAATTTGCTTTAGTATTTTGCTAACCTTCAATGTCATTGTGCAGAAAAACATC